TATATTTTGGTAATCGTTTATTTTGTCAACATGTTGTAAGGGGTCATTATAGTGCAACCAAATACTAAGTGCAGTAGCAGTGAAATTGAATGACCGTAGATCTGTTTTGAACGATGTTTTTTTTTTTTACTTTTTTGTTTCTTTTTTTTCAATAAAAACAAACTAAATACATAAATAAAAAAAAAGCAAATCAAGTAACTCGTTATTTTTTTTTAATAAAATAACATTAAAAATATTTCGGGAATTAAAATTTAGTCGTGTTAAAGTTTCAAAATATATAATTATTATAAAAATGGTTGATAACTTGATAGTGTTTTATAGTTATTTTTAACCAATGATTATTAATACAGAATTGTCAGTTAATTAACAACTTTGTTGATGTTATATACTGCATATGGTTACAAGAGTAATAAAGGAAAAACAACGTATTGGCAGTAATGTGGAAAGAAAAGGAAACCAGATATTTTAAAAGAAAATGAACTGGATTACCAATGGATCAAGGTAAAATGTCTCTTGTAGGTGAGTAAGGAGACGCTTGTGTGCGAAGGGGTCTGATCTCGAAGATAGGAGAGTTGCTTGTGTAGTGGCCTCACGTTGAAGCTTCCGTCAGGTCTGTTAACTTAGTGGCTGCTGCAAACTGCATTGTGGGTTGCCGAGCAGATCCTTTTGAGCAGTCAGGGTGAACACACGACCCAGAATGCTTTAACGGTAACGTTTGTGATTGGCTCCGACGTTTCACTTTTGTTTTGTTTTTTTTTTATTCGGGGGAGGTGGGGTGGCTTGGTCGTGAATCGTATGCGATACTCAGTTCCTAATCTGGGAGCGACATTTTTTATTTTGCTTTTGTGGCGTTCACATCATTTTGATGTTGAGCGAATCAGAAAGAGGTTCAATTTGAAGCAGAGTAAAACACCGATTTTAACGTTTTCAGCCAATAGAAATATGGCACAAAAATGATGAGAGATATCGAAGATTAAGAAGGTTAGTAAACAGATAAGACCGACGATTAACTCTTAAAAGAAAACAATGCAAAGAAAAATTAGTAGACATATTTTCATTAATAAAGATTTTCTTTGAACTTCAAAATTTAACACTAACGACATATTTACTTAATATCTGTAATATTTCGCAAAAGAAGTAAAAATAATCTATTTAATTTAAAGATTAAATTAACTAAATGCGTAAATAAATGTGTATGCAGTGAATGTCGCAAAATAAAGTCTTTACATATAATCTTACATAACAAAAATTTCCTTGACGAACAGAAGTGAATAAGTGGGTTGATTTGGTCGCTGATCGTTTAAGTGCTCGTTACACGGACTTAGTTTCACTTAATAAGTATATTATTTGGTTCGGCTTTAAATAAAAAAGCCATTGGGTAAATTAATTACACAGTCTAGATATTTTAAATCTGTCAGGAATGTGTCTCGTCATTAGTACCAAACTTGTGTCTAAAAATACTGGTCGCAACTCACAAAATATCAACATTGCTTATTTCCCTTTACTCCTAAGCTGTGATTGTCACTCTAATGGCAAAAAATGATTCTCTTTTTCGAACTTAACAATTTAATTATAAAAGACATCAACATAACAATCGCTGATTTATAAAAATTGTAAAATAACTAATTGGAAATGGATAACAAAAACTCTATTTAAAATTTTATAGTTGAATATGCAAATTAGTTATCTCCATTAAGTAAGTATTGTTATCTTCGACAAGATATAAATCATCTGCTAGTATAATAAAACTAAAATTTACATGAAATCACAGTTTTAAGTAATATTTCATCATCATCCCCTTGACTTTTGTAATCGTAGGGGAAGGGATCCAAATGCAGAAGCCATACTGAATCTCCGCCATCAGCAATTCTTGTATAGTAATACACACGCAAAAAATATATTCAATTTTCAGGGTTTCGAGTGAGTGTGCAACCGATTAAAATTTAAAGAAAATAATTAAGTTAAAAGAAAATGTAACCAAAAATATTCCGTTTAAATTTTAATCGGTTCCACATTTTTTTAATAGGACCAAAAGAAAAAAAATTACGATCCAAGGGAGGTAACTCCCACTCTCTCAGTAAATTCCCTGACATATTTTAATTCAAGATTAGCATTTCTGTAAGACCGCTTGTTTTTTCGCTTATCTTAGTTTAATGTGACCAATAAATAAATAGATTATGCATGTTGATATGTATATTCACTCTGCTGTTTGAATCGTTGAATATATAAATTGCACATTTGGGCAGCAACCCCTCTTTTATACAAGTATCATTAAAGACGACTAACAAGGTATTGCAATTAAGCTTTTTATTCCATAATATTAATAGATATACATATATATGAATCTACATATTCAGTTAAAAATCAAATCCTTGATAATGGCTAACAGAATAACCAAGTGCTCTGATATACAGAACATTTTGGATAATTTTTACACACTTTATGTCCAGAAAAGAAAATGCTTATATGAACACACATACCAAAAAAAGAATAAAAAGCTCAATTACAGTACCTTGTCAGTCGTCTTTAATGAAATATATATATATATATATATATATATATATATATATTACAGACTCAAACCTGGATATGAAACTTATCTAGGTTATCTTTGGTTATTGATACTTGTGTGTGTATATATATATATATATATATATATATATAAATCATCCCAAGCAAGGGAGTATACTAACATGCAAGGGGTTACAAGGTATGGATTTAAATTAAATACAGAAACATAAGTAATGGGTAGAAAGATAAAAGAGCATTCAAGTGGACAGTAGATAGCAATTGACACTGAATTTACATTTTTGTGCATCAAAGTTGTCTCGAAAACATGAAGATGAAATGTAGTTCCACTCATGAGAAGTGCAGGATAAGAAACTGTCAACATAGAAGTTACAGCTACATCTAGCAAGCTCAACTGTAAATTGATGTGATCTTGACATCAGTCTAGTATTACGCTTAAATACATAGACTAGGTTCATAGCAAAGAGTTCATCCAAACAATTACCATGAAAGTATTGATAAAAATGGTACAGAGAGGTGACCTTACGACAATGGGCAAGTAACTGAAGTTGAGCTGTCAGATCAGGACCATTAATATTACTGGTTTTTCTTTGGATAGAGTGCATCTGGTGAAATGGGAGTGAATTGTCCCCACACCCCTGGGCCTTATTGTTGCTGACCACCAGGTAGATTGTCTCCTCTTGATGAACTGGCTGTTTGAGAAAAATTAGGACTGATTAGACCAGATGGCACTATTGATGCATCTGAACAGCAGTAGTTGTACTAATTTTCATATGTCTTGGATACATTAGATGACTATAAGTACCAAATGGAGAATGGAGGAATGCAGTGTGTTGTGATCATTATTTCAGGAAGGTGGAGGTCAGTTTGAAGAATCTTGTCTATGTGGACAATTTTAACAACAGATTTTACTTTGGACTTAAGAAGGCAATGTTTAAACATTGTGCCTGCAAAAAAATGGTGTTACAAAAGGATGTTTATTCCTTTGACACTGCTATACAATTTTGAGAATATTTATTTAGAAGATTATAAAAAATATGTGAACCAAGTACAATGCAATATTTATTATTTATCATTTTATAAAGAAACAAATTTGAAAAGAAATCTGTTTATTCAAAAATTTATCTATTTATACAGTGAGCAAATGAAAGAAGTGTCCAGGGAAAATGTATTTAAAAAAAAAAAAGCAAACATTTTTTTTTTCATATTTATTTCTTTATAAAATGTTAAATAATAAATATATCATAGTTGGTCCACATATTTTTATAATCTTGTCAATACAAAATTATTCTTGTAAATAAACAATCTAATAAATAAGTAATGTTTAATATTTGTGTTGTCAATTCTCAAGAATAAAGAAAATCTATAAATTCACTTTTATCTGTTCAGGTTTTATTAAAATTCTAATCATCACTTTTTAAAACAATAAAAATTGATGAGGGAGTCAAAAGTGTATACAGTAATAGCAGTGACAAGAGCATAACCATTTTGATGCATTGTTTTTTTGGGTTTTTTGTGGGTAAGAAGGTTAAATAAAGCTGGACTTTATATGTAAAAAAAAAGAAAAACATGAAACCAAATAACCAGAAGAGACTTACATTGAATTTTAAATATAGATTTTCCTGCCATTTAAGTAATGAATGAAGGTGTATTATCACACTTTTGTTATGAAATTTAATACACATACTATTTTAGAAGATTTTATTAATCACGAGTAACTTTCCCAGGTTCAATCAATGACCCAAATCACAACTACTGTTCTATTTTATTTTTAAAACTTAATCCTAATATATAGCCATTTTCTGTAAATTGAACATAAAAGAAGGGAGATAATTCATTTTAAAATAAAATACATTTTCATTAAATTCAATAAAAGGTAATTAAATCATAACAAAATGTACTTAATTGCTTAATAGATATTCAAATAATATTTTACAAAGAAAAATATATAATACTATAAAATTAACCATTTGCATCACCAAATTTCTTAACAGATTCAATTAAAGTGAAGGTTAAACCTTATTAAACTCAAGCAATGTTTAACTTTGAATATTTACATTTGAAAATATATTCTTCTTTTTAAATGTTTAATAATTCAGAATGATACTTGAAATTTATTTTTGAAATCAATATTGCTGCAAAATCTCAGAATATTTGGATAGATTTAGATTAAATTTTGGGTATTACCTTGAGCAAGAATTTTTGGATGCAAAATAAAATCACTTTCTTTCCAATTAAATCTTTTATGAAATTAATACACAAAATTTTAATAAAATCAAGCAAGATATCTGAAAGGAAAAAATGAGATACAAATCAACTTTTTATGTAGAAAAACTGTCAAACATAGAAAATTTATTTTTAAAAGGTTGATTTTTTTTTTTATAATAAAAAAATGAACTTGGCAGATTGTGAATGGAAATAAATATGTCTTTTTTTGTTTGTTTTTTTAAGAAACAAACAGATTATTTTTGTCATCTGGCCATTTCCCAAACAAAAATCTCATTGGCTGCAGCTGTGAAGAGTAGGCGACCATCAGGGGAAAATTTGACTGTGTGTAGAGAATCATTATGGCCAAGGAAATCCTGAAAGCTGCCCTCATAAAAATCCATCAACTGAATATTGGAGCCTATAAGCAAAAAAGAGGGAAAAATAAGTAATTTATCGGATGTTTCTCTCTCTCTCTCTCATTATATATATATATATATATATATATATATATATATATTGTAAAAAAATTCAATAGATTTAAGTAATATCACTAAAAATCTCAATTGAATCATTTTTGTGCAAAAGTAAGCTCCAATTTAAGTTTCCACGTTAGCATTTATCAATCAATCAATCAATCCACAAGATTATGTCAAACACTCTTAAGGCTTTGAAATTTCAGATGGTCATGTTTGTTGTCTGCTATGAAATTTGAGAGATTGCTCCAGACAAATGATTCACAATATTTTCCATCCTAAAAATAGATATTTAAAAATTATGAAAAATTTTTATTAACCAATAAACATTTGTGTTTAATAAATCTAACTTTTAGCTTCCTGGACCCTATACTTTGTTATAAATATTGTTGCATAAATTCACAAAGTCAGTTTTTCAGTTTACAATTTTTTGGAAAAACTTTGACCAGGGTTATCACTGTGTGCAAACTGATTACTCATATCTTTCATATAATTAATTACTTCTTGGACTTCAAGGTCTACTTTTACATATGCTCTATCCCTGATATTGAGCACCTATAAATATAGCATACCTTAAAACTATATTATTATATATATATATATATATATATATATATATATATATATATATATATAATTAAATAAGGAACAAATAGGAAAATGTTTATGAATTTAACATGTTTTGCTTTTATTCTAGTATCATTAGAAATTTCTGGGGAAATTTTTTCTGGAGCTAGAATACAAGTAAAGCATTAAATTTATAAACATTTTCCTGTTTGTTCCATTCTGTTGTATTTAATCCATATTTTTTCAACTCATTATATGTGTGTGTGTGTGATACAGATTAAATATGGATCAGAATCCAAAAGGATCCTAAGATAAAAAACAAATAGAAAATGTATATCAATCTAACATGTTTCACTTTTATTAAAGCTTCAGCAGAGATTGGTATTTTCAATTTTGTTTAGATCAATTCCCATTGGTCAGTCATGTATCATTTGCATTAAAACCATAGATAATTCTATATGCATGTAAATTTGTAAAGATTCTTGTATATCTAAGTGGGCATCAGATGGTAATGTGTATGTGTGTCTGTCTAGTAGGTGTTCTTCTAATGTCTTCACCTTTGTGCAATCTGCCAGTGCAGTGGGGTGGAATTCCACTCAGATCTGGGACCAATGTTTTTAAGCATGTCCTATTAGATAGAGATAATTTAAATTCTTTAAGAATGGATTTAAAGAAAGATGGCAATGTAATGTTTTAGGTGGGTGTTTATAGTTCGTAATAATGTTATTATTAAGTTTTCAAAGTATTTTCTCCTTGAAGAATTGACCTTTTTTAATTAGGGTGGCATTAGTGAAATCAAAGTTATGTCCAGTATCATTTCTAGGCAATATGAGAGAGATCATTTGTCTAAATATATGTGTATATGTGTATATATGTATAACTGATACTCTATTGCTTTCTACATAAAATTATTGCTATTTACATGAAATAAGAAAGTACTTACCATTTCCCCCTCCAAGTACAATAAAAGGATCAGTAGGTGAAAAATCCAGGCACTGACTCCAGTTACTGAGTGGATGAGAGAATTTCACCTGAAATATAAAAGTAGATTGCAATAAGAATACATATTTGTATGACATCTGACAATTTAATTCCTGCAATAACCACAGCATGTTGCTAAAGTAATGAGTCAGGCAAATATTTGTACCTGGGCATGTTCCAACTTCCACTTTTTTTTAGATGCAGACCAGATGAGTCATTCATTTCTGAGCAGTAGAGGAAATTGTATGTGTTCATTCTATATTGTTAGTAGAAAATGTTTAGAAGTGTGCAACTGATAGCAGAAATGAACACAAATAGGAAAACAGTATAATAAATTCTAACAGTGGATTTGGGAATGAGAAAAATTTCCTCAAATCTTGAAGTATCATTTTGCACCTCTCTCTCTCTCTCTTTTCCTTGAATTACTGTACAACACAAAGACAAACAAATTCTTCATGGCATGTTCTCCATAAGCCATTTTTAATTCATTAGCATTTTCACCAATCTTTATATGAATATTGATATTAATCTACTGCTTGAGATTCATTTTCCGCTAACAATATAACATGAACACATATAACTTCCTCTACTGCTTACTAATCTTGTCTGCATCTCAAGAAAGCAGAAACTAGAATTCCTGGACATGTTTGAGTAGTAATGTTTGTGTAATTCATTAACTTAGTGACACTGAGATAATTCCAGGAATTGTCACATGTAGTGCATGGGTTCCCCTTTGTCATGTGATCCAAAGCCACATGAAACACATTTTAAATGGTCAGAAGTCATAAAAGATGGCCAAATTCATTCAGTGGGTTCAGAAAATCACCAACCATGACCCCAAGAAACCAATGAGAGTTAACATTACCACCTAAATAAGGGTTCTAGACAATGTGGCTAAGCCTTGGATGAATGAAGTGATCCAAGGAAGACTAAGCATTCCTATCATGTTTCTTTCAACAATTCCTAATTCTCCTGATTTTAATCTCCTACATTTGAGATGACATCAAGAGAGGAGCCCAAATAGCAGCCCCTCCCCTCACACAATACCAAACCAAGGATTCGTTGAAGGCTATCATTGTGAATATGATGGCCAATATGATAGATAAATCACCTGTTTTAGGTATACAACAATATCTGATGCTGCATCAAGACAAATCTTGAGGCTAAAGGTGATTTTATTGAATAACTTTTCCTGTTTTTTTTTATGTCAAATTTGTACAATTTTTTTCTACTGAATATCTTTGTTTTTATTTACACTATTTACATTCAGACTATTGTCCTCACCTTTGTTGCTGTCACAATGTTTTAGCTATTGTGCCCCCCAACCTTCATCAGGTATATATTAATTCAGGTAACCTACAGGAAGTTTCAAACTGAATCCATTATTTAATCTATAGGGGTAGATTATTCTCGTTCCACTGCCCATGTCTAGGAATAACTAATCTAGTTATGTTTTTAGTACTGCTCAGTTATTGCTCACCCATTTCCAAGAACACACTGTACAGCCCAGGGATTGAACTAACAATTACTATGTCATTGTTATGGCTAATCACCACAGCATAAAGTTTAAAAAGAAAAAATAATAAAAAAAAAAACACCTTCTAGAAGACGCCAGGTTTACGACTCTATAGTGGATGGATTCTTCACAGGGTCAAATACACAAATTCGGAACTGCTGTATCCTTAAAGAGGTTACAAACAGACAAAGGTGGTACTTGAGTGAAGGAACAGCAACACGGACATAAATGAAAGAAGAGAGGTTTATTGTAAAAGAGAATACACTACTGAAATACAGGGAATTGGGTAGCAGGCCAGTAATTCCAGAAGCAAGCCCAGGGTATATTCTATGCTCACTATATATAGCCACTGATATAGTCAGTCCACAATAGGTGAGAGGGAGTGTGGGACATTACATTACAACAGGAACAATAACCAACAGTAACAGACAACACCAATATACAAATTAACAAGATTTAATTATAACTAGACAATACCCGAAAACATTTAGGCAAGAGAATGCGTGGAAAGATGTATGTGTTATATTCTAGGGTTAAAAGTTGAAACAAAAAAACTTTGCCCCAGTCTTTCTTCTGAAATAAAATAAGGTTTTCTCTTTTACTTTTTCTTATATTTCTTTTTGTCCTTTTTACTTTCAACTCAATTTTTTCACTCGAATAGCAGTGTCTTTTGATCTTCTATTCTTTCTTCAATGTAGCATTCATTAATCTGTTGTAGAGATTTGGCGCTGTATAAATCATATATTCAGTTAAGGAGATTTGGCACTGTACAAGTCATATATTCAGGAGTACAGAATTCATTGTTCAGATCCTGCATCCAATTAAGTGTGTCACATATGACTTCCTTAGGTATCTGTCACGTTTCGTCATTCACCTATGGATTTAATGTAAGCAGCATAATGTGTTGAGTCGTATTGGAGTTTGTCTTATTGCATGATCTCTCTTGCTTGACTGTAAAAAGTAAAAGGGTAATTATTCGCATAAGACTCCTTTCCACTTGATTTTGTGCTTAGAGTTTATGTGAGTTGGGAACATCATTCTTTCTCTTCAGTTTGGAGAATCCATTTGCATGAGGACTTAATGGATGGCCCGACTCATTTGAGTTTTGTCACCCAACTAGTTTCTGCCAATATTTTCCCACTCAACATCCGTACTTGGTCAGGTGAGTCTGCACATGTGTGAGGATCTATTTTTAGCTATGGTTCAGATCTGTGGCTGTGGTCGACAGCCTATTTGACCTAACTGTATTTTGTAGTCAGTGACTAATATTACATATTTAAAAAGAAAGAGAGGGAGTTCACTATTAGAAAGATGGGAAAGAGAGATGGGTTGCAAAGTGTAAAGTTTGTGTGGTTATGGGTTTTGGGTCTGTGTACACCAATAGTCACCAATTCACAAAGTAACACTTTAATCCACTAAACTATCATCTAGTAGGGCCAAATAGGTTATTGTTCCATAGATGGGGAAAATAGTCCAAATGTAAATAGTGTAAATAAAGATACTAAACATACTTTACAGATTAATTAATCAGCTTTTCTATTTATTAAAAACATATAATAATATCTTTAAATTGTGATACGAGTTTTGAGCAATGTTTTACCTTCTTAGAGACAAGATCATAAAATTGGAGAATTTTTCCATTTCCACAACCAGCATAAACAACAATCTCTGGGTTTTCAGGAGCAAATCTTGCGAAAGATGGTGGGAAGAACCCTAGAGAAGGAACCTGCATAGGAAAACAAACAAAAAATGAATTAAAATCAACTATAAATTATATTTAGTCTATGACTGAAGCACAATTAAAAATATGCCTATATCCATTAAAAAGAAAAAGTAAGAAAATACATCACATTCACACAAAACTAATATGCCAAAGGTTGATCCAGGTAAAAGTAACAGCCAAGTCATGACTAAAAAAATGTCACAGGGCAAGACAAAGCCATGACCAGGACAATGTCACAGGGCAAGCCAAAGCTATGACCAGGACAATGTCACAGGGCAAATAAAGCTATGTGACCAGGACAATGTCACCAGGGCAAAGCCATGACCAGGACAATGTCACCCAAGGCCATGACCAGGACAATGTCACAGGCCAAGCCAAAGCTATGACCAGGACAATGTCACAGGCCAAGCCAAAGTATGACCAGGACAATGTCACAGGCCAAGCCAAAAGCCATGACCAGGACAATGTCACAGGGCCAAGACCAACAATGTCACAGGCCAAGCCAAAGCCATGACCAGGACAATGTCACAGGCCAAGCCAAAGCCATGACCAACAATGTCACTATAAAGCCATGAGGACAATGTCACAGGCAGGCCATGACCAGGACAATGTCAAAGGACAATGTCATAAAAGCCAGGACAATGTCTGGAGCCAAAAACTGTAAAGTCATGACCAGGACAATGTCACAGGCCAAAAAGCTATGACCAGGACAATGTCACAGGCCAAGCAAGACCATGACAAAAAAACTATAACCAAATGTCACAGGCCACAATGTCCAAAGCCATGACCAGGACAATGTCACAGGCAAGCCAAAGTATAACCAGGACAATGTCACAGGCCAAGCCAAAGCTATGACCAGGACAATGTCACAGGTAAGCCAAAACTATAACCAGGACAATGTCACAGGCCAAGCAAAACATGTCCAGGACAATGTCACAGGCCAAACCAAAGCCATGACCAGGACAATGTCACAGGCCAAGCCAAAGCCATGACCAGGACAATGTCACAGGCCAAGCCAAAGCCATGACCAAGTCACAGGCCAAAGACAATGTCCAGGACAATGTCACAGGCCAAGCCAAAGCCAATACAATGTCATGACCAGGACAATGTCAAGCCAAAGCTATGACCACAATGTCACAGGACAATGTCACAGGCCAAGCCAAAGCCATAACCAGGACAATGTCAAAGGCCAAGCCAAAGCCATGACCAGGACAATGTCACAGGCCAAGCCAAAGCCATGACCAGGACAATGTCACAGGCCAAGCCAAAGCCATGAAGGACAATGTCACAGGCAGGCCACAATGTCACAGGCCAATTAAAGCCATGACAGGACAATGTCACAGGCCAAGCCAAAGCCATGACCAGGACAATGTCACAGGCAAGCCAAATCACAGGCAAGCCAAAGCCATGACCAGGACAATGTCACAGGCCAAACCAAAGCCATGGGACAATGTCACAGGCCAAGCCAAAGCCATGACCAGGACAATGTCACAGGCCAAGCCAAAGCTATAACCAGGACAATGTCACAGGCAAGCCAAAACCATGACCAGGACAATGTCACAGGCCAAGCCAAAGCAATGTCTGGACATGACCAGGACAATGTCAAAGCCACAGGCCAATAGCCAAAACCATGACCAGGACAATGTCACAGGCCAAGCCAAAGCCATGACCAGGACAATGTCACAACCAAACCCAGGACAATGTCACAGGCCAAGCCAAAGCTATGACCAGGACAATGTCACAGGCCAAAAACATAACCAGGACAATGTCACAGGCCAAGCCAAAACCATGACCAGGACAATGTCACAGGCCAAGCCAAAGCCATGACCAGGACAATGTCACAGGCCAAGCCAAACCATGACCAGGACAATGTCTGGCCAAGCCAAAGCCAATGACCAGGGACAATGTCACAGGCACAAGCCATGACCCAGGACAATGTCACAGGCCAAGCCAAAACTATAACCAGGACAATGTCACAGGCCAAGCCAAAGCAATGACCAGGACAATGTCACAGGCCAAGCCAAAGCAATGACCAGGACAATGTCACAGGCCAAGCCAAAGGACAATGTCATGTCACACCAGGACAATGTCACAGGCCAAGCCAAAAACCATGACCAGGACAATGTCACAGGCCAAGCCAATGACCAGGACAATGTCACAGGCCAGGGACAATGTCACAGGCCAAGCCAAAGCTATGACCAGGACAATGTCACAGGCCAAGCCAAAGCCATGACCAGGACAATGTCACAGGCCAAGCCAAAGCCATGACCAGGACAATGTCACAGGCCATGACCAGGACAATGTCACAAAGCCAAACTATAACCAGGACAATGTCACAGGCCAAGCCAAAGCCAAAGGACAATGTCACAGGCCAAGCCAAAGCCATGACCAGGACAATGTCACCAGGACAATGTCACAGGCCAAGCCAAAGCCATGACCAGGACAATGTCACAGGCCAAGCCAAAGCCAAACAATGTCACATGCCAAGCCAGGGACAATGTCACAGGGCCATGAGGACAATGTCAAAAGCTATAAACAGCCATGACCAGGACAATGTCACAGGCCAAACCAAAGCCAAAAGCCATGACCAGGACAATGTGTCACAGGCCCAAGCCATGACCAGGACAATGTCATAGGCCAAGCAAAGCCATAACCACAATGTCACAGGCCAAGCCAAAGCCATGACCAGGACAATGTCACAGGCCAAGCCAAAGCCATGACCAGGACAATGTCAGGACAATGTCAGGACAATGGACAAAACAAAGGCCATGACCAGGACAATGTCACAGGCCAAGCCAAAGCCATAACCAGGACAATGTCAGGAAGCCAAAGCAACAATGTCACAGGCCAAGCCAAAGCCATGACCAGGACAATGTCACAGCAATGTCACAGGCCAAGCCAAAACCATGACCAGGACAATGTCACAGGCCAAGCCAAAGCCATGACCAGGACAATGTCACAGGCCAAAAAAAGCCATAACCAGGACAATGTCACAGGGACAATGTCACAGGCCCAGCCAAAACTAAACCAAAGCCAACGGACAATGTCTGGGCCAAGCCAAAGCCATGACCAGGACAATGTCACAGGCCAGGACCAGGACAATGTCACAGGCCAAGCCAAAGCTATGACCAGGACAATGTCACAGTCACAATGTCAAAGAGGCCCAGGACAATGTCACAGGCCAAGCCAAAGCTATGACCAGGACAATGTCACAGGCCAAGCCAAAAAAGCTATAACCAGGACAATGTCACCAGGACAATGTCACAGGCCAAGCCAAAGCCAATGTCACAGCCATAACCAGGACAATGTCACAGGCCAAGCCAAAGCCATGAAGGACAATGTCATAAAGCATGACCAGGACAATGTCACAGGCCAAGCCAAAGCTATGACCAGGACAATGTCACAGGCCAAAATAAAACAATGTCACAGGCCAAGCAAAGCCATGACCAGGACAATGTCACAGGCCAAGCCAAAACCATGACCAGGACAATGTCACAGGCCAAGCCAGGACAATGTCACAGGCCATGACCAGGACAATGTCACAGGCCAAGCCAAAGCCATGACCAGGACAATGTCACCAAGCCAAAAAAGACCAGGACAATGTCACAGGCCAAGCAAAAGTCATGACAGGACAATGTCACAGGCAAAAGCTAACCAGGACAATGTCACAGGCCAAGCCAAAGCCATGCCAGGACAATGTCTGGAGGCAAACCAAACTATGACCAGGACAATGTCACAGGCTGCCAAAGCCATGACCAGGACAATGTCACAGGCCAAGGACAATGTCACAGGCCAAGACCAGGACAGGATGTCACAGGCCAAGCCAAAGCCATGACCAGGACAATGTCACAGGGGACAAGCCAAAGCCATATGACCAGGACAATGTCACAGGCCAAGCCAAAGCTATGACCAGGACAATGTCCAGGACAATGTCACAGGACAATGTCACAGGCCAAAAAAGCCAAAGCTATAACCAGGACAATGTCACAGGCCATGACCAGGACAATGTCACAGGCCAAAAAATGTCTATAACCAGGACAATGTCACAAAAGCCATGGGACAATGTCACAGGCCAAGCCATGACCAGGACAATGTCAGGCCAAGCAAAACCAAAATGTCACAGGCCATGCCAAAGCCATGACAATGACCAGGACAATGTCACAGGCCAAATAAAAGCCATAACCAGGACAATGTCACAGGCCAAAGCAAAATCACATAAAAAACTAATGTCACAGGCCAACCAAAGGACAATGTCACAGGCCAAGCCAAAATATAAAGCTAATGTCACCAGGACAAATGTCACAGGCCAAGCCAAAGCCATGACCAGGACAATGTCTGGGCAAGCCAAAGCTATGACCAGGACAATGTCACAGGCCAAGCCAAAGCTATAACAATGTCAGGACAATGTCACAATGGCAATGTCAAGGGCAAAAAGCCATGACCAGGACAATGTCACAGGCCAAGCCAAACTATAACCAGGACAATGTCACAGGCCAAGCCAAAGCCATGACCAGGACAATGTCACAGGCCAAGCCAAACTATAACCAGGACAATGTCACAGGCCAAGCCAAAGCCATGTCACCAGGACAAATGTCACAGGCCATGACAGGACAATGTCACAGGCCAAGCCATGACCAGGACAATGTCACAGGCCAAGCCAAAAATCCAGGACAATGTCACAGGCCAAGCCAAAGCCATAACAATGTCCAGGACAATGTCACAGGCCAAAGGACCAAAGCCATGACCAGGACAATGTCACAGGCCAAGCCAAAACTATAACCAGGACAATGTCACAGGCCATGACCAGGACAATGTCAAAGCCAAAGCCATGACCAGGACAATGTCACAGGCCAAGCCAAAGCCAAAGTATGACAGGCAGGACAATGTCACAGGCCAAGCCAAAGCCATGACCAGGACAATGTCACAGGCCAAGCCAATGTCACAGGCACAGAGGCCAAGCCAAAGCCATGACCAGGACAATGTCACAGGCCAAAACTATAACC